CTCCAGTGATTCCTTCAGTGCAAAGAGAATATGGGTGTTGTCAAGACATTTCAAACATTCAAGACAAAGGTGACTCCTAATAGGATGTTCAAGGCTTTGATCCTTGATTCCCACAACCTTTGCCCACAACTCTTGTTTTCATCAATAAAAAGCATTGTGTATATCGAAGGTGACGGAGAAGTTGGAAGCATCAAACAAATGAACTTCACTGAAGGTCAGTATTTACTATCATCATTTGAATTTGGTAGAGTTTAGTTTTTATTTTAGTGCCTATTTTGTTTTAGAACACAAGTAATTAGATATTATAACAAGGAAGAAGTAAAATCTTTGTTGCTTTACTTTAAGCCTCTGAAAATCTTCTTCACTATGACCCTTGAGAAGATGAGAGGAAGCTATGCTTTATGGAAACCCTTGTGTCTCAAACTATAGACACTATTGTATATCACAAACTATATAATAATTGTTTCACTCCAACAATAGAAACTTATGATAAGCCCTAAACTTGCTAAACACTTTCAGTTGTCCCTCCACCAAGCAATATCTGGAATTACCATTAAAATAAATAATCTTTCCTATCACAAGAATTAGTACTTCTTGTTATCCTTGAGACCCATTTGACATCTTTGGTTGCTATAATCTTTATAACTAGTTTTCTAAAACCACTATACAGCTACTAGTAATCAAACATTGTAATTAGCTTCGAAGGGATATTATCTCCTTTCAACTAAGACAAGGTGGATTCCTTTTGTAGAATAAGCTTTCTCAGAATCCTACCACTATTTCCCCCACCCTATCCAGATGCTGATTAATCCTTGGTGCCTCAAATACATTAGCAAGTCAATCTGGACTCCTAATGAACCACTCTATAATAGAGAAACTAGCATGCTACAATTTTCAGATATAAAAGTGCATGTCAAATCATGGTTATTGAGGGAACATATTCCTACAATAGTAACATATCTAACAGGAATTTCTCTGATCGAAAATAAAAGTAATAGCAGTATTTGTTTTGCAGCCAGTCCTTTCAGATATGTGAAGCATAGGATTGATGCGCTTGACAAAGAGAATTATACTTGCAAGTACACTTTGTTTGAAGGTGATGCGTTGATGGACAAGCTTGAATCAATATCATATGAGGAGGAGTTTGAGAAGTATGGTTATGGAGGATGTGTTTGTTGGGTATCATGTGAATACAACACGAAAGAAAATGTAGAGATCAAACAAGAAGACATTGAGCTTGGGAAGGACAGAGTTGTTGGGATGTATGAAGTTGTGGAAGCCTACCTCTTGGCGCACCCTCGTGCCTATACTTAAAGAGAGTTTTGTAATTGAATTTGGAGTTGTCCTATTTTTAATTCATAAACACTCTTATTTTATTTTTCAGTCAAACTTGAATCAATATCTTATGAGGTGAAGTTTGAGAAATATGGTGATGCAGGATGTGTTTGAAAGATGTCATGTGAATACAACACAATAAAGAATATAAAGTTCAAAAAAGAATACATTGGCCTTAACAAGGACAGAGCTATTGGCATGTATGAAGTTGCGGAAGCCAACCTCTGCGTGCACCCGAGTTCTGTACTTAAACTGGAGTTGCTTTACTTGTAGTCTATTAACAGAGCTTGTCATTTGTTTGTTTATTTCTATTCCTTGGTTATTTTAAAAAAAAATTCACCAGAAAAAAATCCGCATGATAATTAAGATTTACCTGAAATCGCATTATCTATTATTGTCGTGTTGATTCTAAATTTGTCTCATAGCAGGTGTCATCTCTGATCGAATCTGTCACACCCCCACCCCGAATCACATAGGGTGGGTGGCGAACCGGCCACCAAGGCCTTAATCAACCAACCTTGTGCATAATAAATACAAAATACAGCGAAAGACAAATAATAAAGTGATTCATTCTACTGACCTAGTGAATACCAAAGAAAAAAACTAAATATCACCAACATTATTACTAAATACATGTAAAAAAGTAATTAAACCGTAAGATTCCCTACTCTAAACATCAGCAATATTGTTCCTAAAACAATTAAACATTTTGTCTCAAAACTATAAAAGACATTTATTCTTGAAGACCTACAATAAAATAAATCTTCAACTCTTCTAATCCTTTATCTACCCGGGGACTTATTCCTTTCCCTGATCCTCACCTAAAAAATGTTAAATGTTTGGATGAGCACAAAGACCCGTGAATAGCAACCACCTCTAATAAGGTGTGAAAATAAATCTCACATATATATACAAAAATAAACTTTGTTATATACAGAAGTACAACAAATTGTACCTCAATCCCTTCCACATAATCCTGTAAACAAAATGATCTCATGTTCATAAATAATTTTATTAAAGAAAAGACATTTAGAACTCAAACACTCACTCATTTTCATAAATAACTTTATAAATGAAAGACATTTATAACTCAAAACACTCACACACACATTCAGTTTCAAATATATTTGTCAAATCATGTTTGCTATCATTAGTCTGGTAACTGACTTCATCTCTTGTCATCACTAGTCTGATGATTGGCTCTGTCTCTTGTTATCACTAGCTTAGTAACTGACCTCTATGTGCACATCCCTATACTAATCACACCGGTATATAATCTCGTTACCATTTAAACCTAGTAACTCAGTCCCCTTTTCATAAAACATGATTTCAACACACACTAAAATCGTTGTTTTAGTCCCAACGCACACAAAATTTTCCTTTCATCACCAAAACACATATAAACAATGATATAAAATCATCTCATAAGTTTTTCAAATTCGCAGCTATAATAATTCACAATTACAAAACATTTAATTGCAACTCCAAACATCAACATATATCATATATATGAAATATCCACACACACGCACCTACAAGTTTAATATAAAAAAATCATCTCAAAAGAAATAGTAAATTACTCATCTTGATTCCCAAAATTCAATTCAAAGCACTATTTTTCAACCTAAATGCAATCACCACCTAATCCAAAATAATATATAACAATCAATCTCTATTGCTAACTTCGTTATTTTGTGATTCTGTATTTAATTTTTATACTTCCTACCTATTGATATATACTTAATATATCTTTTACATATAAATATTCTTTCGAATACGAGTTAATAGGGTATGGAAGTATTCTGGACTGTTTAGAAAAAAAAGTTTCTAAAGTTTTGGGGTCAAATTATAATTTTTAAAACTTTGAGGGTCAAAGTGTAATTTACTTAAAAACAAATTTTCTGTTTACGGGACTGCCATAAATTTTTCAAAATTCTACTATTGCAACTTATCAAGTAAAAAGGTGGTTAAAAAATAAGTTTAGAAAAATTTAGGGGTCAAAATAAGCTCTTTGAAATCAAAGGAATAAATGACATAATTCCTAGACTTGTCTTCATCAACCTACCAACCCTCCACGTTTTGCAACTTTAAAGAAAAGTCCAAACCCTTTTTTTGTCAACCTATTAAACTCAATCAAATCTCAAATAACTACACACTCAAATTCAACTTAATATCTTCAAAATTATTTGTGTATTATATATATGAAATCTAACACCATGTGATATAATAAAACTCAAAAAATAAATAATGCATTCACATACCTTCAATGGATCCAACTCTTCTTTTTTCTTTTTTTTTTCTTTTTCTTTCCTTCCTTCTCTCACTCTCTCGCCCTTTCCCTCTTTCACATTTTTTTTTCTTTGTTCACCAGACTGGCTCTCCACAAATTTTCTCACCAAAATACCCTACAAACTTAAATATATTTTTATATATTTATAAGGGTTTAACTTATCTAACAATACTATCCTATTTAAACCACATGAATAAGAGTCTTAATAGGTCTCTTTAAGATATGACTTTTATCAGAGATATATTAGTCTTTTTTAATTATTTTTATCCTTATATACATAATTATTCCTAGGTAGGCAATGTATCAAAATAATATAATAAATTTTTTTTATGGGTAATTACAGAGTCACTGGAAGGCTCAATGCTAACGTCCTAAACAATTGATTTGAGCTCGGCATATCGCACATCACCTTGGGTCAAAGTTTGCTCACACACACGATTTCACTCATTTAAACCACCCATTGACATTTTCACTTGCTGTCAGATATATGGCAGAACAATAACTAGATAATCTATCGGATTATCAACCCAATGATTCCAGCTGCCAGTTATTATGTTTCCTGGCCCTTTATCCCTCCAATAAAGCTCATTCTCTTTGTCCACTGTGATTTAGATCTCGTGGGTTTGAATCATAAAAATAGTCTCTTCATATGTGAAAATAAAGTTATATACATTTGATTATTTATCAAATCCCAACTCGCAATATTGAAAACCTCATAACTGTTTTATCCTGTATTAAAAATCTCAAAATCCACACAAGCAAGCCCGCTTAAAACTGACCTTATTTGGCAGCCGAAATGGTGTCCTATGTCCAGCCCATTTGATATTAGAACGAGCTTCCTTATCAGAAGCAAAGTTGCTGGTCACTGGGAGCATTTTGGCAAAGGTCCAAACTGATACAAGCCGCCCATGTGTCAAAAAACCTCTTTGGTTGAATCTGGTCTGCTTTTAGCAGTCGAAATGTTGTCCAATTTCCATGTCATAGTAGAACAAGATTCATTGTCATGGCAAGTCATTAATCATACTCGGTACACAAAGCTCACGCCCATAACGAGATTGGGAGAGATTAATAAAAGCAACATACCTCTATTTTGGAGACTATGGAACATTTTGGTTGAATAGTTGATTCCTTCAAAATTTCCCTTCCAATGTCCAAACTGGTAAACGCCGCCTGTGTAAAAAGCAGCTCTTTGGTTGAATACAACTTTTTACATTAGCTGGGAAAGTAAAGTCTATAAGCCACCATTGTTGAAGGCTTGAACATATCTTTTGACAAATAACTTCCTTTCTATCGAATGGTTTGATACCAAGGCTACCCAATTCTCAAACACAATCTATATAAACTGCAATGAGGCATTCACCATCTCACCAAATCAGTTTTTCACTCTCCACCCATCTTCCTAGGCATATTATCAAACATGGGTGTGACAACTTTTACGCAGGAATTCACATGCCCAATCGCTCCGGCACGAATGTTCAAGGCCTTGATCATAGAATCACACATCCTAATTCCAAAGCTCTTCCCACAATTCATCAAAAGTATTGACAAGATACAGGAAGATGGAGGATCTGGAAGCATCGAAAAGGTCAACTTCACAGAAGGTTAGCACACAATTACTTAATCCAATTCCTCAAATAATATGTGCATTGCCACAATCATGAGTGTAAATTTTGTCCAATTTGATATGCTAAATCCGAACTTAACTATTGACTTTAGATTCTTGACAAATATTTGCAAGTATTCGAGTCGAAATGTCAATAAAAAAGTTTGCACTTAAACCCTATGACTTTATTATCAACTCGAAATAGTCAATTTGAGAAAGAAATGTGCATAATGTGGAGCTATTGGAGTTGTTCATCTTTTAAATATGGAAACTAGAATTGTTTACGACAAAAACCCATTTGAACCTACTTAAATTAAGTCACATGTTGCTCAAATTTGGATTGTTTACAAGAAAATTTGATCATTTTTTTCTTTTTTTAGCAATTTGAAGTAGCAAAAACCAAGGTGAACTCGATCTGCTCGGATTGTTTAACAACGCTAAGCACAAATACCAACCTTGATCACATTTTGTTGGTCTCAATTTGCAGGTAATCATTTTAAATATGTGAAACACAGGATTGATGAGGTAGATGAAGAGAAATATGTGTGCAAATATGCTATGATTGAGGGTGATGCATTGGATGACAAGCTTGAATCCATTGATTATGAGATCAAGTTTGAAGCAGCTAGTGATGGGGGTTGCATCTGCAAGATGACAAGCAAATACAACACCATTGGAGAGGTTGAGCTCAAGGAAGAGGAAATAAAGTCTGGCAAGGACAGTGCCATGGGCATTTACAAAGTAGTTGAAGCCTACCTTTTGGAGAACCCTCATGTCTATGCTTAGCTTGTGTTTTACATTTTTGGGTTGGATTTTTTTTCTTCTTAAGGAGTGTTATCTCTCCATTCAGTTCTTTCAAAATTAAGTAAGTGTGCTATGAACTATGAATACAAAGGGAATTTATTCTATTCAAATAAATCCCGCATTAATATCTGTTGGGTGATTTAGTATTAAGATTTTGGGGGAGGGGGGAAATCATCTTAATGGCCTAATCCTAGGGTTGGCCATAACAATGATGCAGCTAGGGGTGGACAGGATGACCGCCCCCACAAGAGGTTTGAAGAATCTTCTATATGATTCTAATATTTGTTATAAATATACTGAAACTATATAGACTTGTTCCTCTAAATTTTTTCAAGAACTTAAAACGCTATGCCCTATGTACTTACGACCCTCCCTCTAACTGGAGGCTAACTTTCTGGATCCATCCCTAGCAGATGCGAATGAGCCAAATCTTGGGTGAAAGATGATTGTGATGTGCTTTTCTTTTTGTTGGGGGGGTGGGGATGAGGACAGTCAATGACCAAATGGGCTGCTATAAAAAGACATGCATAGCCAGCCTGTATATTCCCCCACCCTTAAAAATGACATCCCACCAATTACAAACTCAAGTCTATTTCCTTTCGTTTCATTATTTTTACACGAGCAATATTGGATAGATTTAAAAATTAAACTTAAAAATTAGACTTAATAATTTCAATCATTGAATAGGTAGTAGGTCTCAATAAATACTGGGATCCACAGTAAAATCAATGGTTGAGATTATCTTAAGTCTTTCTAGCATTGCCCTTTTAAGCTAGTCCATTGCTAGTCACTATAATGAGGATGCTTTAGCCAAAGTGGAATAACATCTCCATCTCCATATGGCAATACACAACACCCTCCAATCATAAGGGAACTTANAATGAGGATGCTTTAGCCAAAGTGGAATAACATCTCCATCTCCATATGGCAATACACAACACCCTCCAATCATAAGGGAACTTATTACCATTGCTGACAAGATCATTTGAAGGGAGTTTCACTTCTAAGCTATTATTGGCAACAGCTTCCACTGGAAAAACCTATTTTAAGTACTCATACCCTCTGTTGTAGCTGTTTTGTCACACAACAACGTTAAAAAAGCAATCTAACAAGTTCGATTCAGATTCTTGGAACCCTCTTATTCAAGCAACTACATTTTAATATCCCTATATATTCCATCGGGACGACAGGGAAACAAGTCATCAAATGAAAAAGTAAATTTTTCGTGTGTCACATGATTTCAATCTCGAAAACAGTCTTTCACCATGAGAGGTAAGAAATGCAGAAGGCCACAAAAAGCCTTTTCATTAGTAACAATCTGGCCTGGAAACGCAAGTCCCACCCAGAGACGACAAGGTTTGCAGTGATCATGAACCATCAGNAAAGCCTTTTCATTAGTAACAATCTGGCCTGGAAACGCAAGTCCCACCCAGAGACGACAAGGTTTGCAGTGATCATGAACCATCAGCAGCCACACCTTGTCGATCTTCTGCCTTGAGTCACTGGTGCAAAACTATAAGAGGCAAAAAATCGAGAATACCTCCTACTGGAATTGAAAATTTGATATGCTTCTAAACTTGATTTTTCAGTCTTCCTTTACCTACAAAACGAACAAACTACCCAAGATCGAAGTGTTTCGATCAAAGGCACTCCGATGCTGAAGTCAGTAAAGGTATTCAAACGAATGAAAGAAGACAAGGAGGGTTCAACGTAACTTTCTTGTTGGCTCCTTTTGCTTTTTATAGATGGTCATCCCTTTAGGGTTTCCGTGATTCTTGATTCAAGGTGGCGCACCTTTCTCCAATTCAGTGATTCGGTTTGGAAAGTTGTTGATATTTTTCCATTATTTTTTCCTGATATCTTCAATTTCTCTGATTCGTTTATCTGATTGCCTAAATTATAGGCGAATCTTTATCCCCCTGTTTATTATTTAAAACAGCTTGGACATATCGAATGTCAAGCACACTTGATATTTGCCAAATAGATTAAGGGNTAGGCGAATCTTTATCCCCCTGTTTATTATTTAAAACAGCTTGGACATATCGAATGTCAAGCACACTTGATATTTGCCAAATAGATTAAGGGTCTTGGTTTAGCACAAACCGATCTCTTTAATTGCCTTGTTGAACACTTTAACGGACTCGGTTTGGTACAAACCGAGCTCTTTCTTTGCTTAGCTAAACTGATGAGTTCGGTCATAAAGAGAATCGAACTTTTTCTGCCTTTGCCAAACCTTTAATTAACTCAGCTTGGTTAAAAAGCTTAATAAAGAATTCTTCATCACGTGTCTTATTTTGTCAACATTATGTGAGCATATTTAATACCATGTCACGTGTAATCATGAGATTTAACCCCTTCAAAAACCTTTACACATTGTTCTAAATCTTCCTGGCAGTACTTGCAAACAGAAGATTAGCAGTATGCTTTGAATTTTTAAAGACTCGCTGGATTATAAACCCAACTGAGTCAAGTAATTGTAGCCCTTGACAGTTCTCATGTTAAGATTGTTGGACAATCGTTGAAATTATAGAACTGATCTAAAAAATACCTCAAAAATAAGGTTGGACATATCTTCAACTACAGATTATGCAACTTGGTTTTGACTAAATATGATAAGCAACATCTCCATTTAGAGTGAGGCTACATACATCTTATCCTCTCAATCCTTAGAATGGTCTTGGACTATCATTTATGTTAAGTAGTTACAAAAATAATTTATAATCGCATCAGTAAATAGCATGAGTAAACTTGAGACTTGATCATTTCCAAACTGTTGAATAAAGTTGTGTCATATAGATTTGTGTTGAGTACTAGTCAAATCATGTTCTATGCATCGACCTGACTTATTTATTTTTATGTCGTGTTTGTATTGTCCCATGTAACTCGTAAATAAAAAATTTAATTGTAAGATTTTAATTTAAGTTTTCAATATAACTTAATCGAACCCTTGCTCATGTTTTTTTCTATAAACTAAAATTTAACTTAATAAACATAATAATAAAGAAGAGTAAAAATGTTTNTTTTTTTCTATAAACTAAAATTTAACTTAATAAACATAATAATAAAGAAGAGTAAAAATGTTTTTTTTTTACAAGAATTATGTCAATACTTAATAAAAAATAACAAAATATGGCATTTTACTCTTATAATACTGATTAAACGTGTTAATCGTGTCAATTTCGTATTGTTTGTATTTGACGCTAAACCCAATTCATTTATTGTTCTTGATAACAAGTCTTGTCATTTACGTATTCTTCTCGAAAAATGGTCAGTCCTAATGTACTAATTTCGTGTCGATTTTAAGTCGTATTTTTGTGTCATGTCAAAAATTATCACTCCTAATGTTGAATCCAAATCACAATTATATTAGTTGAAATTGAATGATCAATGTCGGCCAATTGTTTATGCCAAAAAAATATAATAATGGCACAAAATTATGTTATAGACCATAATCAAACACAAACCGTGAGAACATAGGCAAGCCACTATTGTCCTAACACCCATTAAGGGCTAGCAGTAGCCATTAGCTTCATTGAGTACTCCCAACCAATAACAACATGGAATCTGGTCTCCATCAACCTTTATTGANTCATGAATAACGCCTGTCGCCAACAGATTTGCCTGTTTGAAATTGAAATGGCCAGAGGGCATGAAGCTTTTTTAAGAGAGAGAGAGAGACAGAGAGTAGCTGTAAGACAACACACATGTAGTGGCAGCTCCAGGTTAGAGTTCATGCTGGCTTAGATTTGTCATAACATGATTAGTCAGGGGAGAGAATTTAGCTGGACAATGTTACAACATTTAAGAAGTACATGGAATTTTGGTGCTACCTTATTTCAAATTTGTAATTAGGGTTTTTTGTATATTCGTGGGTGCTTTTGTGAGAATGGTTTGATGGAAAGTGTGTGCTACCGTAAAGGGGGGGGGAATAAAATACTGGAGTCCGCATGTGGGAGAGAGGACGGTGAGGAGGGAGTGGGACCCACAATAAATCTGCCAAGCTGGCGTCAATCAGTTTTGAATTTTGACAGCACAGCACAGAGAAAATCATTCAAACCTATTCTATTCAATTTATTGAATAAATAAATAATATTTTAGTTATTCGTTGGGTAAATTTCATTGACACCCCTGAATTTAAGTCATATTTTAATAACACCTCTTTTGATTTTTGAAATATCACTGCACCCTTCAACAAGCAAAAAAAGTATGATGTGAATTAACAAATTTACCCTTCTCCATATAAAACAAGTTTAAAGTAATAGAAAATATATTTTTAAAGTTAATTTAATTAAATGAAATATTAATTGGATTAAACAGAATGTTCCTATAAAAAAATGGATTAAACAAAATATTAATTTGGTGTTAATTCCAAAAACAATTAAATTTTTGATGGAATTTTTTTATTTTGGGTGAACTTGATGTAATATGTAAGTTTTAAAGCAAACAATGATATAAAGAGCACAAATATTCTTTTTATGAAAAATATACTAGTTAATTTTTCTTTGAAAGAAACAGTAAAAATTCAATTAATTAGAGAATGGGAGACATTATGAAATTCGGTGCCTAATAGCATATTTAGCTAGTCTGTGTGCTATCTTATTCCTTAATCTTTTGACCGAGAACACTTTATGATAGTTATGTAAACTAAATCTAATCTAATGTCCGCAAGAATAGAGCCTAAGGGATTAAATTCACTTTCAGTGTCCAACTGTAACTTCTTCTTCACATTAATCGAATCTTCTTCCAAAATAATTTTGTCACAACCTTATTGTCCAGCAAAGTGGACTGCTTCCCTTGCAGCAAGGACCTCTGCCATTTGGACCACATAGGAAGAGATGACTATTTTGGACAAGCCTGCTATGAAAGAGTCTCAGTCATCTCTTATAACTACTCCTACACCAATGACTATTTTTTTTTTTTTTGAACTGGAAACACATTAGACAATCTCCCAAGTCCCAACTGTATACCACCAAACTTTATTCCATATTCCGTTTACCATTGCAAGAGTGTCTTCAGTTTGTCTTTATCTCTTTACCTTATTGTTTGCTACATATATATATATGGTTTCATTAAACAGTACTACAATTGGTTGTTTCCTCCAATGGTATCATTAATCTCCATGGCAAAAAAACAATGGGCAGACTCGAAATCTCTTCATGGCTAAGTTTAAAAGATTCTCTCATCGTATCCATCAATTCATATTGACATGCACTGTCCAATCACACGAGTTTCTTTCCTCTTGATGAGAGAATCAAGTAACTTTGAATGGAAATTAATGTTTATGCCCAAATTCTCTTTTCATCTCTTTGCCAAGGTGACACCGTGGACATAGAGTTGGTGCATTCCTTTGTCTAACCCATTATAGCAATTTAATTTAATATACCCAACTAGTCATGCTATCTATCGAGTGTTTATCTATCTAAGTAATATTTTACGAGTTTCGAGTCCAAGTATTAACCTCTCTAAAATAAATATAAGATGAAATACCTAACATCTCAAAGACTCTGCCATAGAGTAAGCTCCATGTCCATTGGGTATGCGAGTGAGATTAAGTGCGATATATATATATTTATTTCAATGAGGACAATCAAGCATTGTTTAAAGAATTTTAATTCACAGGGAGAAAAAGAATATATTGAATAAGTTTTATAATTTGGAAAGAGAATAGGTCTATATAATTTGAGTAATATTATTTGGATATAAAAATTTAATCTAATTTGTTGACATAATGATGTGATTTCAGTAGAACTATTCGATTAATATCAAGTTCTAATATTTGATAGGCTCCACAATCAATTCAAAAGTCAAAGTGAATTAAGTCACTAAATTAGGTCTCAATAGTATTACTCATAAAATTTTGGGTTATGTATATCTAATAAGGGTAAATCCTAGATTGACTAAAAATTGAGTATGCAGAATTTCAATTTTAAATAAATAAGAGCAAGATTAAAAGTTACTACTTGAACGAACTATAAATTCAGATGTCCTAAGTTCGACTTTAGCAACTTTTTTGGGCTACAAGCCACAAGGGATTTTAATATTTTATGAATACTTTAATCTCTACGTGGATGACTTGCTTTTAACCGAATTTAAAAAAAAATTGGTTAAAATGTGCATAAACTAACCCGAATACCCTTGATCATTGAACTCTCCAAAAAAAAAGCCACTAGCTACTGTATGAACACCACATTATTTTGTTCCTATTTATTTTATATATATATATATAAAAAAAATAAATTTAAAAATGAAAAAAAAATTTAAAAAAAAATATTTTTTCTATTTTAACTAAGAGTAAAAAATTTTGACTCAACACGATAATACGACTCGAATTCGATATAAAGTAAACAAGTCAACTCGACACGACACAATTAGTTAAATGAGTTAAGTTAGATTTGACTAATATTCGACATAAACTCGTAATGACTCAACACGAATCTGACACGATACGGTCCGATTGTCACCCCTAATTTTAGTCAGCACAAAAAAAAATTAGTCATTTTTATTTTCCATTCATCCAACTAAACATAAAGGAAAGAAAGTGTATCATTTATACTTTTCATTCTTGAAAGATAGAAAGTGTATCTCTCTTACTTTTCATCTTTTCTATTTTCTATTTTCTATTTTTCCTACCAAACGAAACATAAATTACATATATGTCCATGCATGCATCTTTGAAGTCATTCTTAACCCAAAGACCAGGCCTGCAGTTGGAGTTTTATGTATCAATCAAACGTACATTACTCCAAACCAAAACCACATGCCATGACATAGAAGTCACTCTCTATCCTATCTCAAGACCCCACAAAGCACATGACAATTGATACGTACAAAACCCTACAACCCAACATGCCTCTTTTTTTTTTCTCACATGCTTCACAGCTTCAGTGCATGTGATGTGGGGGATATAACCTGCAGGAGCAGTTTCAGACAAAGGTTATATACAGAAAGATGCAGGAGACCTAACAGTTCCAGTAGTCAAAGATATTTATCTGCATAGCTAAGACAATGTCTACAACAAGAGATACTACCTGATATTGCACGAAAAAGTCATTGAGTAGATAATCTAGATAGGAGACCGCTCAATGAACTCGAGGTTTTATGTTCGAGCATAATTAAGGATTTATCTTGGTAATTCTCCGATGCATGTGGAGAGAGGAGAATCGTGCATCAAAGAATAGTATATTGCTGAAGGACTATTAGTCGGGTGCTTTAAGAGGTGAGTAATATCTTCTTGTTACCAAGGAAAAAAAATATCAGCATGCCATCAAGAGAAATGCAATTATTATAATTTCGATATAATTTCTTATTTCGATAAAACAAAATCAAATATTATATCCAAATTTTTCTTCCGAAAATCCTATTTACTTTCATCATCTCCAAATTTTTGTCCTTACTCTTAAGCAATTCATGATTTTTTTTATTACACAAATGTCCCAATTCTAGGTGTTCATTCTTAGTCGCTAAGCGGTTGCGAGTTTCAATTTCATCTCTTACCGCTCTTTCCTCCAAAAAAAAGAAAANAAAGCGGTTGCGAGTTTCAATTTCATCTCTTACCACTCTTTCCTCCAAAAAAAAGAAAATAAATAAATAAGATTTTTTGTACTTTATACTCTAAAATTTTTTTATTTTGTATCCTCAAGATTAAATTTGTACATTATATTCTCAACATATCAAAAGTATTACGATGTCATCTTTCTATTAGTTTATATTATTTTTTTTTGTCAAAAGTAAACCCATTGACATTGACAACAAAACTAACGGAAAGTTAATAGAAAGACCACATTGTAACACTTTTGATATATTGAGGGTGTAATATTGAAAAAAAAAATCTTTAGGAGTAAAATAAAAAAATTAAAATCTTTCAGGGTTCAAAGTGAAATTCGCCCAATAAATAAACCTGTTCTTAAAGTCGGCCTGGGCCTACATTTGATCCGTTTGAGAGTGGCTCAACCTATTCCAAGGTTAGTATGGGCTCAAATACGGTCCATTATATATGGGCTCCATCAAAATATGTCCAGCCCAGAAACAAAACCCTCGCGAAAACCCCTATACACAGAGAGAGAGAGAGAGACTGCGGGAATGAGCTTTGAGCAGTGAAGCCGATACACCGATGGCGGCGAAGACTAAAAAAGGAAATGAATCTACGAAGAGAAAGCGAATTGCAGCCGCGGAAGGTGAAGGAGAGAGAGCAAAACCGAAGAAACTGAAATTGCCTTCGAATCCTGTGAACAAGGGTTTGAAGAAACCTTATAAATTATCCAAACACCAACACGAATCTAAACCAAAATTTCAGAAATCAGAGACTGATAAAGCGAAAGTGGAGCAGCCAAGCAAGAAAGAACGTCGTTTACACGCGAAGGTCTAATCTTTACTTTACTGTCTTACACATGCAGTTGGTTCTTTTTACAGAGACTCTATATACGTGTAAAATTTATTGAGACTACCTTTTGAGGTCGAATTGAGAGTTAGGATTTTTAGTTTTTGGAATGAATATATACGAGGTTTTGAAAATTTTTATGTGGTTTTAGCCGCAATTAAGCGGTGTGTTTGTGTAATTTTTGGTTTTTTTCTTGTTATTATTAGAATAATTATTAGATTTTGTTCGAAATTTCGAATATTTTGATCTGTGGGATTTTTGCATGACTATTTGGTTTTTAATAGGAAACACAGAGTCGAATTTTGAAGTGTTAATAACTTTACAGTGTTCATTATTCTTTTTTGCGTTTTTGAATTTATTGCAGGAACTAGCAGAAGCTAGGAAGAAGAAGAGGAAGCGGCATTACACTCTGGAACAAGTTCGTATTGTTTCTTTATCACCACTATTATCTCTCATGAATATGGTTTTTAGAACACTTTTTCACTGTTATATGGATTATTAAAGTAGTGTTGAAAACGCCATAAAAATTAAATTAAAATAAAAATGGATCAGCAGTCATCTGCTCCAATACTATCGAAGTACAATATTTTAGCAGCAGGTATAGCCATGAGCCGATGACTCATGAGGGGGTTCACTTATCTTTCTTTCTGTTGATTTCTAGTATTTACTGTGGATTAATTGTTCTTGCTTGCATTACAGTACTAGTTTATTTTTGGCTAATGACATGAATATCTTTACACAGAATGTTTGCTAAAGCCATAATTGGAGTGAAGCCTGTTTAAATTCCTGTTTACCAAATTTATGAGTTATTATGGTTCCTGCTGTTTCAGTGACTTTTATTTTGCTTTTAATAGGAACTTGCATCACTGTGGGAAAAGATGAGGCTACGTAATATTACCAAAGAAAACAGATCCAAGTACATAGTTTCATTACAAAGTTTACAAGTGTCATTCTGCCTTCATCACATGCTTAATTAGAATTTTTATTGTTTATGCCGTGTCTATTGTATCTCTAGGCTAGTGAGTGAAGCTCTAAAGAAGATGCAGGGAAAGATTCCAGAAATTGCAAGCTCTCATGTTTCTTCCCGTGTTCTTCAGGTGATTTGAGCTGTTGTTTTTCTTCAAGTACCAAGCTTGAATATTCTTTTGTTTATAGTAGCCCTTTTCTGACCTTGTTTTCTTCATTAGACTTGTGTTAAGTACTGTTCACAAGACGAGAGGGATGTTGTCTACAAGGAACTCCAGCCCCATTTTCTCACTCTGGCATGCAACACGTATGCAGTCCATCTACTGACAAAAATGTTAGATAATGGTATGCCTCAGCTAAATTAACTAATTAACATGGTGAAATATGATTTGTTGAAAGTTTAGTACCTTTGTGTTTTTTGATGACTTTTAATCAATATTTTATTGTTACCTTAAACGACTTTTTCAGCTTCGAAAGAACAACTGGCAGAGTTTACTTCCTCCCTCCATGGGCATGTTGCTACTCTACTTCGCCATATGGTTGGCTCACTTGGTATGCGAACAATATTTTGGTCACTATGATAGCAATATTCTGGCTGATCCCCTTAAATCACCCTACCTTTAGCAGTGTACTTGATTATGGGTTCTCCGTTGTCTATTACTTAGCAAAAATACAAGCTTCCTGATTCAAGTTTTCATTTTTCAAAAAAAATTCTTCATCCACTAGTAGGTAATTCTTGTGCTGCATTTCCTAGGGCAAGAATGTGAGAGATTGTAGTGAAGTTCTAATAACTGGGATTTTGACACCCTGTACTTTTCAACCTTTGCAAATTTAATTACCAAATTTGATACTATTTTGCTTGTTGCAGTTATTGAACATGCATATAAATTGGGAAATGCAACTCAGAAACAAGCTCTTCTAATGGAACTATATTCCACCGAGCTTCAGCTGTTTAAGGATTTGGTTACAACGAAAGAGGGCAGGTAAAGGCTTAGCTGTTTGAAAGGTTTCCCTAGGTGTTTTTCAGATTGCCCTTTTTTGTTGTTGCTTAATGTGTTTCGTCATAAAACTGGAAGATTTTAATTTTATGCCAAATACTATGCATGCCATCCATTCTCACAGCTAACTAGCTGAGATATTTTGTCCAAAGCAAGATCTTCAACCTTGAACGTCAGTATAAATTGTGAAGATGAAGATTTTACTTTAGTGGTGGTTGTTAACAAATTAACTGAAAATGAATATTATTGCGTTTGTTGCATTCACAATATTGTCATCATTAAATCAAAGCTTTCTTAGAAGCATCCCATGTAATTGAACCTCAGGTTGCTTTTTAGAACATGGAATCAGTTAAGAAGAATAGTAGTCTGTAGGTCAACGTGGTATTAATACTTTGGTTGAAGGGAAGGTATCTTGTACTCATTCCCAATGTCTCACAGAAATTGGCAATCTAGCATGTGACATGATGGAAGTGTTTGAATTTTGGGAGTTGCTCGCCTTCTTACTACTCTTTTTACTATACCAGCCTCACTTGAATTCTGAATTTGACATACAGAGTGATGTATATGTTGACAACTATGATGTTGGCTTTCTAATGTTAGGATACATTTTGTATGTATACGCCATTGTTTTCAGTTTAGTAGACATAATTTCCAAGTTACGTCTGCAAAAAGCTTCAGTCTTACGGCATATGGCTTCTGTTCTTCAACCAATTTTGGAGAAAGGAATATTGGACCACTCAATCATACACAGAGCAATGATAGAGTACTTTAGCATTGCTGACAAGGTATGTTAGATTTGCCTTTTTTGGTTCATATTTCTTCCACTATTCAGGAATTTCTAAACCAAGTCTACTGGTAGTCCTCCGCCGCAGATGTGATTCAACAGTTGTCAGGTCCAATCATTGTTCGAATGATTGGTAGCAAGGATGGGTCCAGAATTGGAATGCTTTGCATCAAACATGGGAGTGCAAAGGTTTGTTGCATTGGTCTTGAAATATTATCTCATCTATACACCAAAATCTTGTCATTTTTATCTTACTCATCTACTTGTGGATGTTTTAACTTCAATTGATTCATAAATCTCTCTTAATATTAGGAAAGGAAGAAAATTATCAAAGGATTGAAAGACCACATTGGCAATATAGCTCGTGATAGATTTGGGAGTATGGTAAGGTTCACTTAATGGATTTTTATACTTTTTTCCATAGAGGGCAATTCAAAACAGTTGGTAGTTTTCTACCTGTCGTCGACTGACATCTCCTCCCTGTTGCATGCAGTATATCTATTTGCAGCCTCATATGATTTCTTACATTTTCGATATATTTTTTGTTGCTCATGGTGTTCTTGAGTATGACACTTATAAGTTTTCTTGGTTACCTTGTGCTGGGGGTTGCCACTATTTTGATGGTTTAAAGCTTTAATGGAGGTCCTTTTGGGCTTTTATTATATATTTTCTTTTTTGTGGCAAAAAGGGTCTAAGTAACATCCATTTAAAATTCAATCAATAAAATTCTGAATTTGTTTGAAAAAAAAAAGTAACATCATTTTAAAGGGAAAAGATGTGGGGCAGTTCTGGTTACTGGTTAAGCGTCAATGGTACTTTTGGTTGCATTTTGTTCTTTTTGGTGGGCTATGGTCGAATGGTTTAAGGAGGATTGGGTGTAGCTCTTTTTTTTGGTCATACTATTACAAAGGGAGGGTCGAACCCTGCACCTTAGGTTCACTCCCATACAGAGTTTCGCCATACCATATGTAACCTAGAACTGGCTTAAATTAATGAATTACCACGGTTGCCGCTGACTAATAGGGCAAGCAATGTAATGTTGTCCCCCAGACAGATGATGTGAGTTAGAACCAAGATCCTAGCAGATCTAGAGACTTCTCTCTTGGCTTTAATGGCAACAAAACATTCTCTAAGAGGCTTTCTTTTTTGCTTTTATGTTGTTTAGCCATAATCATCAACGACAAGGGTTGTGGAAGAGGTCAAACCAATCCAAGTATATGACAAATAAATAGGGTTGGAACAACAAATCCTATAGAAACAAAGACAATGCCCGAGACAGATCCAAACGCTCTCCCAAGCGATGAATCACGTTCATTTTAAGAAATGATAGGTCTAACATATGGCTTTTAAAATGCATTACACATGATCATAATCACTAAAAAAAATTTAAATTGTTCCCTTTGTTATTAGGAAATATTATTTAGCTTTGTATGGGAAATATTAACTATAGCAAGGCTGGCACTCCGTATTGACTCTAACCATATTCTTTTTCTTTTTCTTTTTTCCATCTTTATAATTGTCTAATGTAATTGTCAATACTCGGCCTGACAATGGTTTGAGGTGTGTTGTCCAATAAGTAGAAATGTTAAGTCCTTACCTAGTCCACCACACCAAACACCCACCGTTGATGGAGACTAAATTCCTTGTTGACTTCTTTATTTGTCTTTGTTGTTCTCTTAATTACAAAGTCGTATATTAGTGAATTTCAAGAACTTTAAGGAATAATTACACAAGCCCCCTGAATTTAGGTGCGTTTTCAAATGGCTCCTCAGCTTTGATGTGCAACTAAACCTACTGTAACTTGTGAAAAAGTGCATTGAAATGGGTATGCATTTTTTCTTAAACATCCAAAATACCCTCACTACAAGATTCAAGTTTCAAACAAATACTTACCTTTCATCTTCTTTAAAATTTTTAATTCTCTATTTAATCTACCATCAGATTATCCCCACACCTCAATCCCCTAGGCTAACTCAAAATTTATAGACTGTTCCCACACATAGAACTTAATTGAGCCGAGCTACTCAGGCTCGACTCAAATTCGTCTTCTATAAGACTCGACTCAAGCTTGGACAATTTTTTAGACTCGTTTAGAAAAACGAAACTAAAAGGCTCAACTCCAACTCGTAAAATATGGCTCGTTTATATGTAAAAAAATCAAGTTACTCGGGCTTAGCTCAGGTTTAGCTCATTTTGGGCTCTGCTCGAGATCGACTCATTTTCTAAACGAGCGGAGCTTGAATAATATTTTAAGTTTGTTTAGAAAAAAGAACTCGCAAAGCTTGGCTTGATTATCAACCATACCCACAAACAGAGACTGCCCCTATCTCAATCAATTGCCTACACTCCTATCCCAAACAAAAAATGTCCTCTCCCCCAAACAAAACCCAGCAACCTTCTACAATATTCCTTTTCACCACTAGCCCCAAACACTATAAAGAACTTTACGGGAACAGTCCAATCAAAAGCATATCCCAAATTGCATGAAAAGTGCGATTCTAACTTTCTTAAACTCACACAAACACTTTCTATGCAATTTCTCTGGAAATGTCTTTGGGGTGGAGTGGAGGAGGATGATAATGAGAGAGAGAGAGAGAGTCAGTGAAAGCTGAATTGGATGAAACTTCATCAAGGGCTTTTACAGGAGTATTTTTTTTGACAAGGCTCAAGAGAGAAGAATAGTCTGTATGCCTTATATTTTTGGCGGGCTATTGTTCCACTCGTCGTCTTTAGTATGTGAGATACACGCAGTCAGATTTGACATTAATCATAAGTTTAAGGTGGTTTAGTGTTATAAATGAAAGGTGAGGGAGGTGATCTAAAAAATGCCACCAAGTTCAGAGAGTCTTTTGTAATTTCCCTCGGGGTTAGATATCTGAGCTTGAGTCTAGATTGGTAAGGTGTTCCAGGGAGGGGGGCTTTCGCTTGTGCAAACAAACCCTTAATAATACATTGTAGTCATCTTGATTAACAAATCCAACAAGTACATTATGATTTCTTCTATCTTCTATATATATATATATATATTTTGATTGTAAGGATTTCTGCTGCTCTTTCTGGCCCATATTTTGGTGACCTCCTTGTTTTTATGAAATTTAAGCTATTTTTTATGTTCAATAACTTCTCAGGTGCTTGTCTGCATTCTTTCAATTGTTGATGACACAAAACTTATAACAAAGGTTGGTTCCTAGGCTTCGAATGGATAAATGTTTTACCCGATTAAAGGAATGACATTATTTAATTGGGTTTCTCTGTATGTTATCTTAATTGCAGGTTGTTCTTCGCCAGCTTGAAACAATTCTAATGGAGCTTATATTGGACAAGGTTTATATTTTTCTTATGCCTGCTGTCACTGTTTAAGTATCTCAATTACTAAGATGGCACCTTGTCAGATACTTTGGACTTTGACAAGAATCTGCTCTTTGTTCGAAGAGTAGTCATAATATTGGGACTTAGTTTTTTGCGTTTACTAGTGGCTCTTTTTTTTTGTGGGAAAGTTACTAGTGGCTCTTTTGGGCTCCACGCATCCTCAATTAGTGATGCCTTTTTCGAAGTGATCCCCATAGTAGACTATGTTTGCATGTATGCACTTCCTGTTATTTTCCCCCCTCCATATGACTAAATATATTTCTAATTTGGTTTCTCTCATTTGTTTATTTTAGGATGGAAGGCGTCCATTGTTGCAGCTACTTCATCCCAATTGCCCTCGCTATTTCAGTCCAGATGATCTAGCTTCGTTGAGTTTGTCTATTCCTTCTCTCTGCACCAAGGCAATTTGTTTTGCTTTATTTAGAACGTTACAAGTATTGCAAAAAGTGATGCAGCTTGTTAGAAACTTAATATGTCATATTTCTTTCACTACCAGGGAGATTCAGAAATAGGATCTGACCTGGGTAAACAAACATCATCTTCCGAGGTTGGTGAAGCAGGTGAGGAGGATCGGAGCGGCACAGATGAAATTCTAGCTGAGCCTGACAGTAGCGAAGGTCCTGAAGAGAGTCCACACACAATTGAGGGTGGAAAGAAGGATCCTTTTGTACGACGACAAGAGTTGTTGATCACTAGTGGGCTTGCTAAGGTTTGTTGCTTCACTGTACTTCCATAGATTTTCTCATTTTATTTTGCTTTGGCTTCTTTCTGCTTTTACTCCTTTCTATGCCTGTTGTGAAATCTTTTTGCTGTCAAGAAGCTGTAGTCCTCATCTTGTGGATCTACAATTCAACTTGATTACTGCTTTTAGTAATGACTGTTTGAGAGCTGAACTTGAATCGTCAAAGCATTATTTATTTATTTGTTTATGTAGCATTGATCTGTCTTGCAGAGTCTCATTGATGCATGTGGTGAGAAGGCAGGAGAACTGCTAAGATCAAACTTTGGCAAAGATGTCATATACGAGGTAGTTATTTTGTCTATTTACTGATGCTACGTCTCAATAAGAGGTCATCTTTGAATATCCATGATTGTGTTCTCTGGAAAGATATTCATGCTTGGATTCTTATGATTATTTGTTGAGCCCTATCTGTTTTTAGGAGAAATGTTCTGATGAGGGGAAATTATTTTTAAAATGCTATCCATGCAATTGATAAATTATTATTCCAATGATAAACTTTTCATTCCATCGGTTTGATTCATTTCCTGCTTCCTTGACGTTGACTGGTCGTCTTTAATTCTAAATCCGTTAGATTGCTGTCTTTGTTTTTTTTCCGTGTAATGCCTGTAGATTGTAACTGGAGGTGCTGGTGGCATTCTCCACCCTACTTTGGATCAAAAGCTAGGCACCCTATATGAAACTATAGCATCACTTGTGGCACAGCCTAGATCGGAGGCACCGGTGGAGGAGCATCTTCTTGAGCACTTCCATTCTAGTAGAACCATTAGAAAATTGGTATTAGATTGCCCCACCTTTGCTTCCACTTTATGGGAGAAAGCTCTGGAAGGAAAGTGTGAAATGTGGGCCCAAGGTCACAGGTTTGTTGATTAGACAATTTCAGTTTCAGTGTGGTGCATTTATGATCCAACATCAAGGTAAACCCAATTATTGATGGTTCTATCATTATTGTTGCAGTGCTAAGGTAATTAGTGCATACTGGGAAACCTCAGATTCTGCGGTACAGGAACTGGCAAGAGATGAGTTGCAGCCATTGATAGAGAGAGGCATTCTCAAGCTTCCTGAAACCGATAAGTCTGCTAAAGCAGGCTAAGTTATCCAAGGAAGATGAGCTGATAACTCTCTTGATTGAGCAAGCATGATTGCATTGAATCACTGGTGAGTTAAGATGGATAAAATATCTTGCGATTATGGTTATTATTTTCGGCCATCTGGGTTTTTTAGTTAGGTTAGCACAAGTGAATCTGATAAGTTCTTTCAGTTAAATTGGGGTTGGGGACAGGAGTAAAGTTGTGTCTGGGCTTGTACAAGTACATGACAGTCTTATTTATCAGTTTTAATTTAAGCTAACATTTCATGTACACTACTATGAATGAAGAGTGAGTTCATGCTGATCTTCTGTTTGTTGTTTTGATTTTAATCATGATGTGGAACCTAAGGGTCATCGGTAGTCTTATGACACGAGAAAAATGTCTTGTAAACACATCATCACCATTTACATTCTATAGCTTCCAGAAGAAATGTGAAACTGGATAGGCTGACACGGTATAGAGATCATAACACTTGGCTACAAAGATCCTCTGCCCAGTTTACTTCTTCAAACATTACTAATCTTCAACAGAAAATTCTTAAAACTCATCCAAGACGACAAAAGTTGCGCTAGAAGCTACAAAAATTTCACTTTCCTAGCTTGCATTACTTCTTCTTCATCCTAAGCCCACACCAGTAAAGCCATGGTTGACATATTTGAACGGAATAAATGAAATGGAGTGTTCTGGCTGTAGATAGTCTGTGCAACTGTTGATGTCAACCGCCATATCGGCTCTTTAATGGTTCGGGAGGTTCCTCTTCCATTATGCCTGAACCTGTTGTAGTCAAGTACTCACGAATGGTCGTCTTTCTGTCCCCGAGATAAGTATGGTCCAGAAAATTGTCGTACGCTTCATAGCCCAGGTTCTTTGCTGCCAATACACTATCAAATTTCATCTTCAGTTAATGAGCAGAATAATTGGTATTACAAAAAAGAAAAGACCTTAAGGGACGTAAATTTCGTTTATCTTCCGATATAATCTGGTGGGAAAGGCTACGGTACTATCAGCAGGACCATACCGGAGGAATTATAACATTATAATTTTTTTTGTGTGTAAATTATAACTTTAAAGGGAATGATTGATTATGAAAACCTATGATTGATACTAAGAGTTCATGATCGATCATATGTATGTGATCAATCATGATCTTCTCTAAACAGTTGTAATTTATCATTTTAAAATTATAATTTACCATAGAAAGTGGTAATACAGTACCATAGACTTTTCTTAATCTGATATAAACAGATCGTGTCATTGATTAAAACAACTGTCATGCCGTAGTAGGGTAATATTTCACATACAGATATAATATAACTCACTCACCAGTGCCGAAGATAAGCACGACAAGGTAAGATGTCATCTTGCCAAATTTTGTGTATGTTAAACCGTCCATATCGCTCAAAGTAGATGTCTTGGCTTCCTGCAAAAGAACAGCCATAAAGTAAGCATGCAAACACTTTCCCTACACTGTAATCTCTAGTAAACATAGAATTTCAGTCTACTTTCCCTCCCTCCCCGGGCAAGAGATCAGATTTCTCGAGTTTGATTATCGAAGAATCAAAACTCAAACGCAAAACTAAATGGTTAAGTCAACTAAGGATTATATTGTAACCCGGTATCAGTAGTTTAAGAAGTCTAATGGTGAAAAACTAAAATGGGTTTGGGCTGTTCGATTATCATAGGAAAGATACCAAGCTCAGAGAATTTCCCTCCACCATGATCAATATAAATTGTGTATAATTACGAGTTGTAATTTTTCGTTGAATCATCGCCTATTATACAGTTCCGAACATTGTACTGATTACTGAATACTAGGGGGTGGAATCAACAAAAATCATCATCCTTCATCTTTCATCAATCTATCCTATTGTCGGATCTTCAAATATATGCAAACTAGAACTCGACAGGAGAATCAGGAAATTACCTTTGCATCTATTTTGAAAATATTCTTCATCACTATAACGTGCACAAAGCACCTGCATCAATAACCAAACCATTTATTTAGGTCGCATTAAATCACATGATCATTAAAAAAGAGGAATAAAGTTTCCAATGGACCATTACTATATACACTGCTATGCAAATGATCTAGTTTTCACTCACCGCAGCACTAATATACAGCAACCCGTTTAATGTTTCAGGTATGACCTTTAAAACACAAATGAATTTATAGTCACAACCAAATCATCCATGTGAAAGAAAGGAAAAGAATTCACAGTTAGGATAGATAATAAAGTTGTTGATTTTGGTTTTGCAACTTACAGCTAAAAATCGAAACTCGTGTTCCCTCTCAATGAACGCTGGAATCTGACTTTGTGAAGCGAGTAGAATGTCAGTTTTTGACTCATTCTTAGGGCCTAAATCTTGTAAATTAACTACAGGATTTTTCGAGATTCCTATACCTTTGATCTTTGAATCTCGAAAACTGTCACTATAAGGGTTTCACCTTCACAAGGCTCCACACTTAAGCTCGAAATTTCCTAGAAAAATACACAAAACACATCATCAGTACATTAAAATCCAAGTTCATTCTTCAAATCCCTACGATTGCTGAGAAAATAAACACAAAATTAACATCCTCATTCTTACATTTCTGGGACCTAATGAAAACACTTATATGTGCACACAGTATCAAATTGCACATACACCAAACAAAAAAGAAAGAAAAGAAAAGAAAATATGAGCACCTACTCTCTTGATTGAGACCCTAATAGAACTAACTAAGCTTTTATGTGATTGTTAAACACTATCACTAAATTATTCATAACAATTGCAATCAAACAAGGCAACACATATATATGGGACATTTTTTCCTGTTGTTTCCTTAGTTTCTAAGCAATCAAACACACACAATATCAAATACTTGACACACACCAATCAAGAGACAAAACACACATAATTCCACTTAGCTAAGCCCAACACGTATGGCTTATCGTCAGTAATACTATTTGGATCTAAAATGCTGACATAATTTGTTGATGTTATCAATCACTAATATTGATTTAACTTGTGACTCCCAATATTTGTTGAAATTTACTAGTAATTCAATAGTTATGATTGATTAGATCAACAAATCAGATCAGAATTTTAGGCAGAAATAGCATTTTTGTTAGCTAAAACTCCTACAAAAATTTCACCTCAGTTGTGCTGAGTTACTAATAACTAGTGACAGCAAAAGCAGTAGTAAACCTAAAATAATTTTTTTTTTCTCTTTCATTTTCTTGGCAACCAAACAAGTCAAGTTAATAATAGTCATAACAACAAACCTTGGTTTGGGGGTTGGCAATGCCGCGTTGGAAGAAAATCGGAGCAACATGAGCGAAAACACGTCGAAAACCGCTCAATTTGGTGATTCTGAAGTTGATCAAATACGGAAATGTACTCCTCGCACTCCTCTCTGCTCTCGCACCACGCAATCACAAAACTCATCATGGATCACAGTCTTATTATAAACAACACATTTGGATGAACAAACGAAATGAAAACAAATTCAACCAAACGATTTTCAATTTCATTTTTTAACGAAAACGAAAACGAATAAAGAAATGATTAATTATACTAGCTATTTTTACGTACCGGAGAGAAGAGAACCGAAGCCACAGATTGAGACGAGGCCTTCCGGAGAGACGATGTTATCAAAATCAGAATCGTCTTTGAGTTCTATCGGAAATGTTGGTCGGAGGTCGCCGAAAGACATGGTGATTCGTCACCGGGAATGCCGTCGGCTGTTGGATTTCGATGAGAAGTGAATTGAACAAGTGTTGGTGGTTATAAAAGCGAGTGCGGAGATATTTATTTGATTCATCCACGCGCGATCTTGCGAGATCGATCGCGCGTGATTCAAAGGAGACAACGACCAACCCAGACCAAAAATTCTCATACCGGGGATTGGTTGCTAGATTTTTGAGTCTTTTGACAACCTAATTTCACCAAATTAGCACGTTGTCCACGCGAGGCGGTTATTTGGGCCGACAGCCGTAACACGTTTTATCATAACCGATAAAAATAAGGTTAACACATTTATACTATTTAATTTATTAATAATTTTTAAAAATTTACACATATAAAGTTATTTTTTTGAAAATTAGATTAGTTATAGTTAGTTACAATTGATCTGATAAATTTTTATAATTTGATATCATTGTCTNCATATAAAGTTATTTTTTTGAAAATTAGATTAGTTATAGTTAGTTACAATTGATCTGATAAATTTTTATAATTTGATATCATTGTCTGATAATTTTATTATTAATGATTAATAAAATTCAAAGTAATGCTATTTGGACTTATATATCTAATATAATTTATTGATTTAATGATGTAATTTCATTGGATCAATACTAAATTTTAATATTTGATGGATTTATAGTCAATTCAAAGGTCATAATGAATTAAATTAGTAAATTAGGTCTCAATAACATTACTCTAAAATTAATATCAAAATTACCGATATATACATTAATGGATATGCTACATATTTTTTATTGCAAAATTTTGTGAGCAAATAGCACAAATCTCTCCTATGGTTTAAATTCAATGCTGAAGTACTTATGAATAATAAATGGTCAAGTTGATCAAAAAATTTTAAAATATACCCAATATGTCTAAATTAATCTGAATATGTTCGAAGTGTGTTTACAGTTAGTCATTTAGGTATACATATGTACTAATTAATATGATACGAAAAAAAAAATAGTGTTATAAGAACTTAATTTAACGTAGTCGTTAGATTAGTTATAAGTTTCTAGGTTAGATATAATTCACTTCTAATTTAATGACTATATTGAATTAAGTCCTAAATTAGGTTCTGGACATAATTAAATATATTTAAAAAAATATAATACGTAATGGTATATTAGTGTCCCACTAAAAAACAAAATTTTGGGCAACATGTGCGTTGTCAATGACATCACGTCATTATTGCCACTCCAGAATAATTTTTTGAAAATGCATTTACGCGTAATATTATTATTCAATAAAAATATAACAAATGAATAATAGATAGCTGGTAACTTAATAACCATCCTCCCTATGTATAGAAGTAGAGTTTATCATCAAGTAGAGTGGTTTAGTGGGATACCGGTCTTACTCCTCATCTTGAGATTGTGAGTTTGAGTTTTTGAGTCTCCTTCAGGGTTTGATGGTTGACCGTTATATTAATTTAGTTAGGTCTGGTCCTGATAGGTGTTCCAGGCACGGTCAGGACCCTTATGATTCCACTGGTGAGGGCCTATCGAGATAGTCGTTCGGCGCGTTTCCTTTCCACCACCCCTTTATTCAATATCAAAAAAAAAAAAAATAGAATTTACTTTATTCATTTGGTTATTTCTTATTTGATAATCATGTCACGTGACGTTGGAAGTTTTGCATTACTATTATATTCAATATTTGCTCATGATGAGATTAGTGAATACAATTTTTTCTTAGTGATTATTTGGAGTCAAGTCATGAGGAATTTATTCAAAATAAATACCTTAGCCACGATAAAGATGATCTGCCTTTGATTAGACCGAAAAACAGATTAGTTAAGGTACGTATAAACTGGTTTGAACATCCCTAACCATTGAACCAAAAAAAATACAAATTTTGAACTTTTTATCCAATAAAAATGTACTATATGTAAGTTTCTATTTTATATTTTCTCATTTATTAATTATAAATTATTTTAATTAAAATTTGATGACGTGGGTTAAATTTCAACAAGAAATTTCATTATGGCAACGTCATCCAAAAAACACATGTTATGCACGTGCAAAAAACCAGTACACTTCGTTAAAAATGAGGATTGTTGGTAGGAATTCTGATTTGGGCCGTGCAAATGCGCGTGGATGTGGACCTTCACATTTTTCATGAGTTTTTGCTAGGAAATTCTTCCTCCACTTGAATTTTTTTTTTATTAATTGATCCGGATCCGCATTATAATTGATCCGGACCGCAGTCAAGTACACAAACTAAAACAATTGTATAAATAAGTGGACAAAATCTCGGTTACGCGTTACATGAATTATTCACTATACATAATCTATGACTCAAACTCAACACGATTATAAATAAATTATACACAAATTGCATAAATTTTGACAAAATACTAAACTCAACTCGACATTACTTGTTACCGACTCTACACATATTCTTTAGAGTTAGCATGACCTCTCAAATTAAACAACCATTCGAGGAGGCTCATTGATCGGACCTACATAAAACTATTTGATCGTAGAAATCCTAAATTTTCGTTAAGCATTTTTTTGAGATAGTTTTTTTTTTCTTTGAAATTCAGAAAAACTCCATGAAAATTTATGAGTTTCATGTCAACCCTTTTGAAGCTTGATTTCTTCTTCCCCCACCTGGCTGGTACAATGATCGTTAATGAATATGTGCAGCCACTAACAATCCACATATAGTGAGCAGAACTGGGATAGNAACATAAAACTATTTGATCGTAGAAATCCTAAATTTTCGTTAAGCATTTTTTTGAGATAGTTTTTTTTTCCTTTGAAATTCAGAAAAACTCCATGAAAATTTATGAGTTTCATGTCAACCCTTTTGAAGCTTGATTCTTCTTCCCCCACCTGGCTGGTACAATGATAGTTAATGAATATGTGCAGCCACTAACAATCCACATATAGTGAGCAGAACTGGGATAGGAATCGAACTCAGGGTCTAGAGATAGTAATCCTAGGTCTTGTCATTCAAACACAGTTGGGACATTACTATNTAGTCAACAGTTGACATTACTATTCAATTGATACACTATATTGATTTCATATTCTTAAAGAACAAAGAGNACAGTTGGGACATTACTATTCAATTGATACACTATATTGATTTCATATTCTTAAAGAACAAAGAGAAAAGTATGTCACATAACTGTTTTCCACAGAGGATTTACAGATAAAGATTGACTGAGAAACAATTCAGGAACGCAACAGCAACAAGCANAGAAAAGTATGTCACATAACTGTTTTCCACAGAGGATTTACAGATAAAGATTGACTGAGAAACAATTCAGGAACGCAACAGCAACAAGCAGTTGCTGAAACTCTCGCAAGCTAGTATGGGAGCTTAATAGGGTCATCTTGTTGAGAGGTTGAAGATGAGTGAAAAAAGAGGCAGATGGCTGAGATATCATCCATTGCAATTCCCCGTCTCTTGCATTTCCATGCAGAAACTGCAGATTCGACCAGTCTTTTAGATGATTCTTCTCTTTCTGGTGTGGAAGAAACAATCTCAATAGCTTCTTGATTTGAGATGACATCCCATACCTGAGAAACCGAAAAAATGAAATCCCATAAAAAGGATAGAACAATGTCAATAGTGGCCAACATTTTGCAATTTTTCANAATTTATAGTCAATTCAAAGGTCATAATGAATTAAATTAGTAAATTAGGTCTCAATAACATTACTCTAAAATTAATATCAAAATTACCGATATATACATTAATGGATATACTACATATTTTTTATTGCAAAATTTTGTGAGCAAATAGCACAAATCTCTCCTATGGTTTAAATTCAATGCTGAAGTACTTATGAATAATAAATGGTCAAGTTGATCAAAAAATTTTAAAATATACCCAATATGTCTAAATTAATCTGAATATGTTCGAAGTGTGTTTACAGTTAGTCATTTAGGTATACATATGTACTAATTAATATGATACAAAAAAAAATAGTGTTATAAGAACTTAATTTAACGTAGTCGTTAGATTAGTTATAAGTTTCTAGGTTAGATATAATTCACTTCTAATTTAATGACTATATTGAATTAAGTCCTAAATTAGGTTCTGGACATAATTAAATATATTTAAAAAAATATAATACGTAATGGTATATTAGTGTCCCACTAAAAAACAAAATTTTGGGCAACATGTGCGTTGTCAATGACATCACGTCATTATTGCCACTCCAGAATAATTTTTTGAAAATGCATTTACGCGTAATATTATTATTCAATAAAAATATAACAAATGAATAATAGATAGCTGGTAACTTAATAACCATCCTCCCNTTTGAAAATGCATTTACGCGTAATATTATTATTCAATAAAAATATAACAAATGAACAATAGATAGCTGGTAACTTAATAACCATCCTCCCTATGTATAGAAGTAGAGTTTATCATCAAGTAGGGTGGTTTAGTGGGATACCGGTCTTACTCCTCATCTTGAGATTGTGAGTTTGAGTTTTTGAGTCTCCTTCAAGGTTTGATGGTTGACCGTTATATTAATTTAGTTAGGTCTGGTCCTGATAGGCGTTCCAGGCACGGTCAGGACTCTTATGATTCCACTGGTGAGGGCCTATCGAGATAGTCGTTCGGCGCGTTTCCTTTCCACCACCCCTTTTTTCAATATCAAAAAAAAAAAAAAAAAATTTACTTTATTCATTTGGTTATTTCTTATTTGATAATGATGTCACGTGACGTTGGAAGTTTAGCATTACTATTATATTCAATATTTGCTCATGATGAGATTAGCAAATACAATTTTTTCTTAGTGATTATTTGGAGTCAAGTCATGAGGAATTTATTTAAAATAAATACCTTAGCCACGATAAAGATGATCTGCCTTTGATTAGACCGAAAAAAAGATTAGTCAAGGTACGTATAAACTGGTTTGAACATCCCTAACCATTGAACCAAAAAAAATACAAATTTTGAACTTTTTATCCAATAAAAATGTACTATATGTAAGTTTCTATTTTATATTTTCTCATTTATTAATTATAAATTATTTTAATTAAAATTTGATGACGTGGGTTAAATTTCAACAAGAAATTTCATTATGGCAACGTCATCCAAAAAACACATGTTATGCACGTGCAAAAAACCAATACACTTCGTTAAAAATGAGGATTGTTGGTAGGAATTCTGAGTTGGGCCGTGCAAATGCACGTGGATGTGGACCTTCACATTTTTCATGAGTTTTTGCTAGGAAATTCTTCCTCCACTTGAATTTTTTTTTTATTAATTGATCCGGATCCGCATTATAATTGATCCGGACCGCAGTCAAGTACACAAACTAAAACAATTGTATAAATAAGTGGACAAAATCTCGGTTACGCGTTACATGAATTATTCACTATACATAATCTATGACTCAAACTCAACACGATTATAAATAAATTATACACAAATTGCATAAATTTTGACAAAATACTAAACTCAACTCGACATTACTTGTTACCGACTCTACACATATTCTTTAGAGTTAGCATGACCTCTCAAATTAAACAACCATTCGAGGAGGCTCATTGATCGGACCTACATAAAACTATTTGATCGTAGAAATCCTAAATTTTCGTTAAGCATTTTTTTGAGATAGTTTTTTTTTTCTTTGAAATTCAGAAAAACTCCATGAAAATTTATGAGTTTCATGTCAACCCTTTTGAAGCTTGATTTCTTCTTCCCCCACCTGGCTGGTACAATGATCGTTAATGAATATGTGCAGCCACTAACAATCCACATATAGTGAGCAGAACTGGGATAGGAATCGAACTCAGGGTCTAGAGATAGTAATCCTAGGTCTTGTCATTCAAACTAGTCAACAGTTGACATTACTATTCAATTGATACACTATATTGATTTCATATTCTTAAAGAACAAAGAGAAAAGTATGTCACATAACTGTTTTCCAGAGAGGATTTACAGATAAAGATTGACTGAGAAACAATTCAGGAACGCAACAGCAACAAGCAGTTGCTGAAACTCTCGCAAGCTAGTATGGGAGCTTAATAGGGTCATCTTGTTGAGAGGTTGAAGATGAGTGAAAAAAGAGGCAGATGGCTGAGATATCATCCATTGCAATTCCCCGTCTCTTGCATTTCCATGCAGAAACTGCAGATTCGACCAGTCTTTTAGATGATTCTTCTCTTTCTGGTGTGGAAGAAACAATCTCAATAGCTTCTTGATTTGAGATGACATCCCATACCTGAGAAACCGAAAAAATGAAATCCCATAAAAAGGATAGAACAATGTCAATAGTGGCCAACATTTTGCAATTTTTCATGAAGGTGTAACAAAAAATTCTCAATAACAGCATATTTGCATATCTCAAATGCTGTATAACCAGCATATTCTATTTTTCTTCCAGTCATATTTTGAATGTTGTCTGACACCATAAAATGATGCTCTCTCACTCATTTGATTATGAAATTTGATGAATGACAGTCGAATGCTCACCCCATCGGTTGCCAAGATCACAAATTGGTCTCTGCTGGTTATGTTTCTCTGGGAGACTTCAGGCTCAGAAATAAGACCAAATTCCTTTATGTAGTGGTCACCAAAGGCTCTGGATAGTGCTAGTCCAGGACCTCCTACACTCTCCCCACTTGGCATCCAGACTCTGTACACCCCTGGTTCATCATGCGGACAGAATACCCTTCCTCCGGACTGTTTTATTCTCTCAGTCTCTTCTGTAAACATGAACACACCACAATGAAATCTGTGAGAAACATACTGTTGTGTACATATATACATATATATATATATATATATAAAGTGAGAGAGAGAGAGAGCATTAACGAGGTAAATTGGGCTTAAGGTCAACAGTAAGCTGAACTGGTACCAAACTGCCATCATCAGAAGTGGTTGCCAACACAGCCCGAGAATCTCCAACGTTTGCTACAACAATTAGATCACCCTGGAAATACCAAGAATAACAAACACTTCATTCCACAGCTGTATAAATTTGAATATTTTACATCTACAAAAGGCTCCAAACTAAATTACAAAATCATCAGAAAATGCATCAAGCAGCAGTATAGAAAGTTAATGGTTTTCCTAGGTCATTAACATCTATTGCATTTCATACTCGTTTCCTTTGTTTTGATGCTTGACATCGTTACATCAACTGACGCTGGGTAAATAGCAACACAATCTAAGGTAAACTGTAAACATCAACCATAAGAATTATCCTAAACCCAATGAACAGAGTATCTACTTTGTTTTCCACAAAACCTTGTACAAGTAGCATTCCCCTTTACCTGTCTGACAATTGTCAAAGCTGTTGTACCACTATGATAAGAATCAATCACAGTATGCTGCTCCAGCTGTTGATCAATTGCAGAACATGTCTTCAAGTAAGATTGCTTCCATATATTAAATTGGTGAAGGCTTCTATCCAATTTCAAGTCAACTTCATGGTTAAATGAAGTTAGAGCAAGAGCTTCTTGCCAATTGCACAACAAAGATGATGGCATCATTTCCCTGACTCCTTTTGCTACAAGATGCCCCCAAGGGCCATGCCCATCAAATATTCCACAAAAGATCATGTCCTCTTGGCATCCAAACTCCTATCAATAAAAACATGTCTATGAATTGAATAGAATCAACGGTGACAAGTATGCTTCTAACTTCCATGTTAAATAATTGCAATTTTTCGCTTTTCGCCATAGTGACAACACTTGGCTAATATCACTGACATACCTCCCACACAGTAAAACAATCCTGGTTAATTCCCTTCTTCCCTCTCTTGGAATAGGTGGAGGCAAAATTATTAGACCCTTTAAGGATGCCCGGACAACTCAAGATCAGATCATTCTTTTTTGCTTCCTTGGTCAATGTATCTGCAGCTTCCCTTCCAACATCAACTCTACCATTCCTCCCACTCTTGATTGAAATACTTTTTGCCAAGCCACTGAAAAGAGCAGAAAACTGCACCATTTCTCTCTGCAATTGAAACACCCCCCACAAATTATGGCATTTCAACAAACAAAAATGGAACACAATAAGAATTTCATCCTTTATTTCAACATGAAAGAAAATCAAACAGAGCGGAAAGAGTAGTATTTGAACTATTCATTTTGCTAAATGTTCTTCAAATTCAAGCAATACAATATCTTCTTTTCCATCTCATCAGTCCATGGGATCTTAAATCCTCTATTTGGTTGCTAGCAAGAGAAATGAAACAATTGAAAATGAAAATTTTAGTCTATTTTCTCTGTAACATTTTTGTCCAAAATTATCTTTTCTCCAAGGGTCCCAAAAGATGAAAAGTCTCTGAACTTTCAAAGTCTGCTGTATTGATGTACGTTAAGATGGCGGGTCGACTGACTTACAAGGAACTGACAGAAGGGGGAAAAAGAGGAGTGAAACCAGTCGACAGAAGGATAAAAGAGTGTTCAACAGAGGCACATAAATGTAATTATGTAAAGAAACATTTCAAGCTCAACCCTTGAGAAATCAAAGCTAAAAACTATAGTAAACTGCAACAGAAATAGTATCCATATCCCCCTCCGTTTGGCTTCTAAGGAAAACAGGGATAGTACATAGAGACCTAATAAACTTGATCTTATTGTGGTTCATATTCTTGAGAATGAATTTCAAACAAAGTTTATTCTAAAGACTCTAATACTCTATTTTCCAACCGTTTCTCATCAACCAAACCGCAGCATCAGAACACAAACTTCAAAATGGTATGCCATAAGGACAACGTCTACCTTGTTCTGCCTGCGATGTTACTCAACGAAGGTTACTTATGCAACCCCTGCGAGTGACCGGAAAATCCTCTCTTCCCGGCAGAACTCCGACGTTTCTCCGGCGCCAAACTGATATTTGCAGGCTCAGCCTTCAGATGGTTTACGATCCGTTTGTCTCTTCCTTCTACTCGCAAGTCTGTGTGTGATATATATAAACTTTAGGATTAATTGCAAGGGTTAATCTCATTTTGTATCCCGAAAGATTGTTCGAATTTTAATTTATACCCTCAAAGATTAAAAATCTCAATTTATACTCTCAAAGATAGAAATTTGTATCAATGTGCACCCCCAAAGATCAAAAATTTCAATTTGTACCCTCAAAGATAGAAATTTGTATCAATATGCATCCCCAAAGATAAAAAATCTCAATTTGCACCTTCAAAGATAGAAATTTGTATCAATGTGCATCTAAAATTAAATTAATAAATTATACCTTGATTCTCTCATGTTTGTCACTTAATCATTTGAACTTCTTCACATTTAGAATATTCCCCTTACATCTCATGACGTTTATGCATGTGTAATA